GAATTTCAAAGATATTATTTCGATGTATTATTTTGTGTTCTGGATGCCGAAGATAATGTAAATGCTGAAAGGCTTCTGATTGACAATTAGCTTATTCCTGGTATATCGTTTCTTCCGAATGAAAGCAATTTTCAAAGAATGCAAAAATTCATTTAGCAAATTACTAATAAACACGCGTTAAGGCTTTTTCTCTCATTTCCCTCTCTTGTTGTCTATATTTTCCTTTTTGATTTGGAAATCATTTCATTAGTTCAGACTTTAATTGAATTCAAACTAGTCAACGAAGATTCAGTCAAACAACCCACCAGTGTATTATTTAACGATAACCTATATTCGTTCAGAAACTTGTAACGTTTTTATCTATTTTTTCACAAACAAATTTTCCTACTAACAAAAAAGGTCATCGTTAAATCATCATTCGCAATTCCTGCAGGTACATTAATAGCAACTGTGCTGAGGGAAATAAGAGATTTATATGGCATTTCAATGCTTTCGTGTATATATTATATTTCCATAAATTGTAATTGCAAAAAGATGTGTGAATGTATTGCACAATAGTGGACTTGCGAATCGCTGGTCACGGAACAGCAGGACCCATCAGTGATCAAAGAAATAAATGCAGTCAGCTGGTAAGGGAGCGAGGAAAGGCCATTGCGTTGAATGCCAGAGAAATCCTTCGCATAATGCCACGCCAACTGTGTCCATAGTTCCACAATCGTCACGCATGACACATGCGGAAAATCTATTCGCACAACTCCCGACTACCCAAATACATATATACAGGCATATGTGTTCATATACTCATAAAAATCTATATATTTACTTTTGCGCCGGTGTAAGCGTGTCCGCTACAGTTTGTTCAACAAACACCTCGAACGATATTAACATGTCACTGCAACACGAAACGAAACAAAAATGAAAATGAAAAAAGAACAAGCGCCGAATACAAAAACCAAAGCAAAAAAACCGTGTAGGTAAATAACCACAGGTGGGTTGGCTTCAGCATCAGTGCATTCAAATGATAATAAAAGACATGTGGCACGTGTAATAAACACAACGCAGCCAGTCAGATGCAGCTACGACACATCGAGGATATGCAGTGTGATTTCGAGAACATGAGGGTGTGTACTTTTAGTCCCAGTTCATGAATTTTAGCGTGTCCCCATACTGCGGCGGTAATAGAAAAATTTGGGTGTTTTTTAGACGTGTGGTTTTCAATTAGGCAATACTTTTTTCTACTTTTCTACTTTTTTCTGGGTACACTATTCGGTCCCCATATTCGCCCCGCAGAGTCGGTCATTCGAGTAACCAGGGGTCGGCTTCACTACACCTTTTGGTGAGCGCATTGTCTCGCGCCGGGGCCTGTGATGTTGATGATCAATTTTTTGGGATTGTATGAAATCTATTTTTTACGCAGATAAGCTCGATTACTATAGACGCCTTAGAAGAGAATATTCGGCGCGTTATTGCTAACATACGGCCCCAATCGCTGAAAAAAGGTGTCGAAAATTGGCTTCTTGGGCCATAACATTTTATTATATGCGTTTAATTTCTTCTTAAAACGGCATGTCTAAAAAACTCCCTTTACGAGCTATATCTAATATGGTTTCACGATCCATTCCATGTCCACATCGCTCGCAATAGACTTTGATGGCAGCTCCGGGTTGAATTCTAAAACAACATGTGGCTAATAGCACTTTTAATTTTTTGTATAGGACGAAGTGTTCTCTTTTCTTCTAGCATGGTCTAATTTTACCTACAGATATTCAGGTGGGAGTAAGTCAGACATAATTTTAAGGGTTTCATGCAATTAATACGAAAATGTGTTTAGTTTTCTACTTTTGTTCTTGTCTATGAATCTATCCGTTCACTTCAGTTGACATCATGATCCCTTCTTTTGACCTACGATATTTTCGTCCAAAACCCATTCAATCGTGCCTCTTTAAATGGACAACCATTTCCAGTATATACAGTATACATACAAGTATATGCTAAAAGATACTAAAGTCTTAACTTCATATGTTTAACATTAAGACATACCTTACTACATGTATTATATTATATATCTACGCTTGTCTATATATACCATACGTGTACCGTATTTATTCATCTATTGAACGGAATTGTAACTGTATTGGACATGCATGTGGAAATGTCGTTGAGCAATTGAATCCATTTAAGTTACCACTTAATGACATGATTGAATGTAACTGCTGGGCAACGGTGTAATGGAGAGCCAAACTGTTGAAATGACATCAACGGATATACCAATATGTTCGAAGATGAAAAAGGGTCCAGCGAAGCTTTTTTATGCTTATTTGTATGGGGGCATAAATAATTGAAAGATGAGTTGCTGCACATAAATGAATAGATACAATTTATTCTCAAAAAGCTTCTGCCATACCGAATCATATTTTTAAGGACTTGTTTTTTCTAGTTTTACGTAAAATAAATTACTTTCATGAACATACAGATTCCCTTCAGATAAGGCCTATATTGTAGAGTGGGTTGTGTTGTGTTTCCATTTATTTAAAAATCAATTAATAAACATTTCTTTAGGAATTATTAGTATAGAAATAAAAGGTACTGAATTAAGTTGTAATTACTATTTAGTAGTAGAAGAAGAAAGTTGCGTTTTACAAAATGCTAACTATGAACATTGAAATTTAGTGTTGTACAATTTTACGTTCATATCACATCCCCTCTATTAATTATAGACTACTTTATTTCTACTTCTTTCTAAAATCAGGAGATGTGAAACTAGTTACCTGTTGTCGCGATCGGTTGTTTCTACGAATAGGGTTGTTTGATGTCTGATTTTCTACAACGTTTTCCTTTAATTGAGATAGTGCACAGTATTTGTCACCAAAATTTGATACTTGTTTGGATATATTTGGTTGATGTTTGACTCGCCTTACAACGTAGCCGCTCCTGAATGTTTGGATATCGATTCAAGTACTGGTATCCATTGATATGACGGTATTATGCTGGGTGTTTTGATATTACCTTCTGCTTTTGATCTTGGTTAATATGACGTCTTATGTATGACCTATGTATGACTTTCCCCTAAACATCATTTTTCGGATGAATTATAGTCCCTAACCTATTATCTAGCATATACTTGTTCATTCGTTTGAAATGTATGTGTGTTTACGATTTTAGATGTTGACTGTGCTGGTGTCTCAAAAAGTTGAGTTAACATGTTACGAATTGAACGACCATGGAGAAGTTCAGCAGGTGTTTTTCATTAGCATTAGGAGTAAATCGATAAGTAGCTAAATATTTGACTACGGCGCATCTGATGGATAGACCTTCGTTGATATTTTTTCGAACTGCGGTTTTAAATGTTTGAATAAAATGCTCCGCAAGTCCATTGGATGCTGAATGAAATGGTGCAGTTGTTATGTGTACAATACCATGTAACTTGCAAAATTGTTGAAATGCAGATGTTAGCTGAGGTTCATTATCACTAACTAGTGTATTGGGAAAATCTTCAATGGCAAAAATTGATTTTAAAGCATGTGAAGTAATCACCGATGATTGGCCACCAAACGTGATGTCGTGCTAATTGCTTCATTCGTACTGTTCCCCAATGTCCATCACGTAAGAGTCTAGGATTTTTTTCTGTAATGATTTTGGAATAACCATACGTTTTACGTTTGCGTGTAAGCAGAGAAGATTGTAGTGAAGAGTTACAGCTAATCTCCGATAAAAATATGGTCGAATTTCAGTATCACCTGAAGATAGTTGTGTAGGTCAACCAGTTTTAACAATATTTTCAACTTTACGTAGCACATCGTCCCGTTCTGTGTGCCTACGAATAATATTGGCATTTATTGGTAATTGTATATCTGTAACATTGTATCATGCTTCGCATGTATCATGCCAATTGTGTGTATTACGATACTTGATGTCAAATTGATATGCCATAAGAATGATGGCCCAACGCTGAATACTATGGGAAGTCATTTGAGGAAGATGCTTGCTTGGATTAAAAATATTTATGAGAAGTTTATGGTCTGTGATAAGCAAAAACTTTTTGCCATATAAGTATTGGTGGAACTTCTTAACTCCGAACACTATTGCTAATCCCTATTTTTCAATTTGACTATATATTTAAGTTGATGCTTATCCATAGTTTTAGATGCAAATGCTATCGGATCTCCATCAGGATAAATGTGCGATAGAACGACTCCAATGACAAAAGATGTGGCGTCGGTTGCTAACGTAATTGGTAATTGCTCATTAAAATGCGCTAACTGCGTAGCATTAATTATATGTAATTTAAGAGCTTTAAGAGCTTGTTGCTGTTCTAAGCCCCATGTAAAATGTACATTTTTGCGGCGTAGCTTATTTAGTGGAGCGGCTAACTAAAAAAATTTGGAATGAAGTTGCAATAGTAATTAACTTTACCTATAAAAGATTCTAGTTGCGTTATATTTATAGGTGGTTTCAGTTGCTTAACTGGTTGAATGTCTGAATAATCTGGAAGGATCTAATTGTGAATTAATTGCTATTTTAAAATCACCGCCTATTCTTACCGACCCATCTGGTTTTGGTGCAATGATAATTGGTGACGCCCAGTTACTGAATTTAACTGGTTTCCAAATTCCAGTATTAATAAGCCTATCTGCTTCCTCACGGCATTTCGAAATTTGTGCGAATGGTATTTGCCTGCTTTTGTAAAATTTTGGCGTAGCGGTAGCTTGCATACGTATACTAGCTTGAAAATTGTTTATCACGCCGGCATTTGTTTTGTCAAAAATTGTTTTATATTTACTGCATATATCTTCAATTTGTTTCGTATAATCACCTATATCACCTACGTTGTCAATTGCGTAATTTCAAACCCAAATTCTTTGAATAAATCTAGCCCAAATAGATTGTGAGCATTTTCTATATTTGTTACTATTACAACAATGCTTTTTTGCTTGTTTTCACACTTTGCTTTGATGTGCCATTCACTCATGGCTGCAGTCCAAATGCATATAATGTTTTTGTACACTTTACTAATTTCGGTCTATTCAATATATTTATTATACGTTTGTAAATTGATTATTGAAACGATTGCGCCCGAATCTAACTGAAATTGTATTACTTTGTATTTGTTTCAACTTTTACTATGTCCGTTACAATGTTTACTGCATCCAATGTACCAATATGTTGTTAATTTTCTTGTTTGTTTTGATTCCAGTTTTGCTTTGGAATAGTTGTGCTTTTACTAACACTTCTGCTCTGATTTGACATACAAACTGCAGCAATGTGTCCCTTTTTGGCACATTTATTACAATTCGCTTTACGAAATCTACACTGCTCTCTATTTTGCGAAAAGCCACAATCTGTACAGGACTTCAGTTTCACTTGTTTCGTTGCGTTTTCATTTACGTTCTGTTCTCTTTTAATTTGGTTTTTACTTGTTTTCTTCCAATATTTACGTGTCTGCATTGTGTTCACCTGCATCGTGGATGAACTCGTATTCTCTTTGATGGTTACTACTATTTTTGCTGTTGTTTCATATGTTTCAGTTATTAAGAGCATATCTTCTAGTGACGGTTGTAATTTTTGAAAAGCGGCTGTGCGGACTTGATCGTATGGGGTGTTAAGTACGATTTGATCGCGAATCATTTCATTTACAAAGTTTGCTGAACAGTTTGTAGCGGAACAATTAAATTTACACTCCCTTGCAATTGCACGTAGTTCTGCAACCTAATCACGGTGCGTTTGCGTATGCTTCATTTCTCGTTTAAAAATTCATAACGTGCTGCAGCTACTTGACGTTTCGACTGGAAATGTTCCGTTAATTTGTCTGTCAACTGGATGTATGTTTGCGATTGCAGGGTTTCAACCTGGAACAAATTTTTTAAAAGTTCGAACAATTCCATACCGGCCCATGATGGGAAAAACGAGTTTTGCTTGTCAGGACTGCTTACCGAATAGGCAAAAAAATGTTGAGAAAGTTGTTCCAGGTAGGATTCCCAATTTTGATGGTCTTTATTAAATGCGTGGAACCACTGTTACTTCTCCTATGCGGTTATAACTGTCATCATTGTACATGGATTGATGAATTGACTGCATCCACTGTTTCTGCTGTTCGAGCAACGATGCTGCGAATCTTTGCTGCTGCTGCACTAATTCTTGTATAAGGCTGTCGTTTGTCATTTTGACGTTTTTACACTCTAGGACTTTCTTTAAGAATTAAATACGTAAGATTATAATTTTATGTATGTTTAAATCCTCGTCGCCAGAAATTGTTGTGTTTCCATTTATTTAAAAATTAATTAATTAACATTACTTAAAGAATATGAGTATAGAAATAAAAGGTTCTGAATAAAGTTGTAATTACTATTTAGTAACAGAACACGTCTGTACTTGACGGCAGCGCAATCCAGAAGAAGGAAGTTGGGTTTTACAAAATGCTCAGGCTAACGCTCAGTGCAGCCAACTATGAACACTGAAATTTAGTGTTGTACAACTTTACGATCAGATGAGGTTGAGTGTTTGTATATCATTCAATGGGACATAAGATTGAGGTTCGACCGCTGCAGAAGGTACAATTATCGATATAAATTTTTTTAGACTTGATAAACAGTCGAATGTATATATTTCGCAAGTCCATTGTCAAGACGAACGCCGCAAATATATGGAAATTTGATCGATTTTGTATTAAATCTGTAAGTATTAAGTCATGATTGTTTTATACTCGCCACAGGATTCACAGCATTATGAAAAGGTTCATCAGCAAAGTAATGTTCTGTGCAAGCTTAAGAACTCTAGATTTAACTAAACTTTTAGAATTCTGAATTGAAATACTTGTAGGAGCAAACATAAAATTAGTTTTGGTATCCATAATGTATATTGTACATTAGCAGATTCATTTCTACTAAAAGCTTAACTCAGTTGTTCTGGGCGGTTAGTGAATTGTAGGAGAATATTTTTCAAAACAGAAATTAATTGAAGGATTACCATTGCTTGCCGATGGGCGACTGCTATGAGAGAACCGCTTGTTCGAAGAATGCATGGTAATAAGTTTACACCTATCGGTTGTGCCGAAATACAAAATTTTATTCGAAAACATTTTTGTATGGAATTCGACTGGCCATGGAACGCATGTGCTTCAGTAGTGTTGATTCATATTGCCTTTGTTTTTCTGACGTGAACTTTTAGACCGGTTTTTGTCGCAGCGTCGCTTACCGCTTGAAGTTTTGCTGATATATCTGAGTATTTATGTGAGAACAGACAGATGTCGTCAGCATTGTACAGACCTTCCAAGCGGACATTAAAACCCAAGGAGATCCCTCTGTTTACCGCGTCGGCTAGTCACAATACAAAGGCAAGAATTAAGTTAAATAAGAGCAGTGATTGGATTACTTGCGCTATGATTTTATTGACCATGCTAAGTAGCGTGATTCCTCTCCAGTTTTGGCACTCGGATAAGTTATCCTTCTTCGGCAGAAGAGAAATAACTCCACCTTTAAGCTCAGACAGTATTATTCCAAACGTTTTAAAGTAAATATAGTATAATCTACTATACCCAGATTAAAATTTTCTTGTCCTTGGAGGTCGTTAACTTCCCGTCTTAATATTTTAAAATGTTTAGTAGTTTTGAAGTCGGCGCTGGTTAGCTGTGTCATCGTACGGTAAAAATCTCGGGTGCGATGTGTTTTAGCGGCGCTTTGCTTGCTGGGTTGTCACTCTACTTTCTTTTATCAATTCTGGCACTTATTATATTTGCTTGTCGATGCTATTTTACTGTTACTGCAGTTCTGCCTTTGACTGCAAGGTTTTCGCGCAATTTAGATTTCACTGATCTGCTTTTGTTTATGAGGTGAGAATTGTGATCGAAAACCCAGCACTTCCATTTATTCACTATGAAGCCGACGTGCTCCTCTGCTGCATTAAGGAATACTCGTTTTATCTAACGTCATTCGTTTGCAGTGCGTGTCTTGAAGTAAAGGAAATGCCTAGCGATTCCGGGAATCTATTGCAAATTGCTACGTCTTTTAGGTTTTCAACATCGAACTTCTTTTGCGCTTTTTGGTTAAAATATTTATTGACCGCGACACCTTTAGCCTAAGAAGATAATGATCACTTGCAATATCAGCTCCCCGCTTATTGCACACGTCGAAAAGGGAACCACGCCATTGTTGACTTATGGCAATATGGTCCATCTGGTTTTCGATAGCTCGACCGGGCGACGTCCATGTTGTTTTGTGGATGCACATGTGATTGAATGATGTTCCATCAATAACAAGATTATAGTTAAAACAGGGGTCGGCATTTCATAGAACAATTTTTTCAATCTAGCTTCACACGTACTATCCTTTAGTCTTTTGTCATTATGAATGCTTTATGTTGTTATGAATTACATTTTGTGTTTTAGGCCTTTTAATTAGGCAATAAAATTAAGAGTTTTTGGGTCCAATATATTTATTTTAATCGTACAATATATAAAATATATCGGAATACACACGACGGAATAGTAGTGCTATTTCTTGGTGAGAGCCGAAGCTTTTCAACAAACCTGCATTATTGAGCTACCTATGGTTAGTGATCCCACCTACACAACATCAGGACAAGACAAAGAGGTTTTCTCCTAGTGTCCGGTTCTTCAAGCCACATTTAAACAAAAGTAATTAGGATTACATCTGCTGCTATTTTCTGCCGTTAAAGTCTGATTGATATCGAGTAATACTTTAGAGGATTTAAATGCTGATTTGTTCGTTAAAAAAAAGTATATATACTTATAATATATACATATACATAGAAATACCGAGCTGTTGTTCATTAAGCTCATCGTTTTGCCGCTCAATAAAGCGCAGGAACGGTGAATAAGTTAAATTACGTGGCACATGCCATGAAACTTACACGTAAAACGATGTACGATAAAACTGTTTTTGTTTTTATAAACATAATTTTTACATGTGTTTCGTTATAAATCAGAATCACTTTAGCGCCAGCGTAAACCGCTCCGCAGGCGTTAAACTTAAACGCACCCATTGGTGTTGGCGTTTGCACGTGCAGCCATCAACATGTCGACACACCTTATCCGCCACTTTCGCTACTGGCATGCCAATGCAAGTAAGAGTGCCAATATATTTCTGACTACGCTCATATTTCGGGGTGTTGTGGAGCGCTCAGCAGTTGCTCAGGGTTGCCACTTCAGCTCAGTTAGGTATTTCAGTGTCATTAACAAATTTACAACATACCAACTGGAAAAGTGTCAGCACCTAAAAATGTTATGTGCGCTCGCAAACTCGCCTCGTACCCAAGGATGCACACACACACATACATACACACCAGTGCAAATGCACAGGAAGGCTGCTACACCACAAAAGCATCATAAAAGGAACACCATTTTACTGTTTCACCAATAAACCACAGAGAAGATTGTGCCACTCACGTACTCACATACCATATGTGTCTGTGTGTGTATGCAGTTCAATAGTTTCGTAACTTGTTTGTGTGGGTGCGTGATATGAGTGCGCTCACATAAGTACTCTTATATTTATAAAATTTTACACTGTTAAGTAGGTGGCTTTAAAATGAAAGTTGGTGAAATACCAAACTAAATGCGCAACGAAGCTGCGTCGGGGAAAACATCAAGTCACACACCAACACATGCAGACATATGATATGTGATGCGTGCATGTGTGTGTGAATTGTTGTAGCTGGCGGAGGAAGCGCGCAGCCACGTAAAGTTATATAGCAATGTGTCAGCAATATTGGCAACCGTAAAGTTTGCTAACTACCAACAGGCAGCATTTATAAATGACAGCTGCCTCCGCAACCCTTTTGGGAGATTATTAAATAATCGGCATTTGTTTACGTATTCATTCATATCCGTTCTACGCGAGTTTAAATCGGATTTCGCATGAATTTTGTTGGTATGAAAAAGTGAAATGTGTACCTTATCGGTGACAAACTTTCGTTAGAGCGCACGAAAGAGTTTTTAGAAAGTAAATAGGTTAGGCAATTGTCAATTCAAGATAAAAGGTGTTAATGAGAATGACAAATGAGTTAGAGAATATGGGCAACACCCTCATGACAAACTACAATAGCATTGTAAAGATTTTGACAAGATGCCCGATAAGTGAAGCCTGTCAAAAAATAGGAATTACCTGAAGTGTGGATAGAAATAATCTATGACACACTCAAAACCAAACATGACTGAGACGGGTTCATACAAAATTTTTTTCCTAACTTGATACAACGTTCTTCGTGTGAAGTTTGATCTCAATATATCAATTAGTATGTGTATGGCAGCTGTTTGTCTACGACGCGAAAAGGTTGTCACTTTTGTTTAACGCTATCATAATCTATCGGGGTTTTCAATTGGTAGGGTATGATTTCTAAGTGTCGTTTGTATTCAGTAATATTTAGCATTTCATCATGGGAAGATCTACGCAAGAACAACGTTTACAAATTATTAAATTTTATTATCAAAATAATCGTGCTCCAATTGCAACTTTTCATACGCTTTTGCCATTTAATGGTCGTTACAATCGTACAGAATTGGGACTGTCCCAAACCACAACCTGGCGGATTTTGAGAAAGCTCTTTGACTTGCATACGTATAGAATTGTTCTCACTCTAGAACTGAAGCTATTGGACCACCTTAAACGTCATGAATTTGCTAGTGTTTTTCTTCACAGAATCATTGTAATAAAGAAAAAACGGCACCAAAAAAAAAGTAGTGCTAAAAAAACCTACTAATCTAAGAAAGTTACGGAAAAAAGAGCAAATGAAACAGCGGAGGAACGTGATTTACGCCTTGAGAAAAATCGTAACAGAATATCTACAAGAAGAAATATGGAAACTGAAGAAAAGCATGAATCACGGCTTCAACAAAATCGTGACAAAGAATCTTCATCACGAGCTACCGAAACAATCCAAAAACGTACGCAATCGTAACCGAATGGCTCAATCACGAAAAATAATAGATTTGACACTTGCATCGTTCAACTACAATAAGAATGACAATTTCAGAAATCACTAGAATGTAGTGATCGGTGCAATGAACAAAGTTTGTTCACATTGTGGTGCTTTGAAGTTCGCGAAAGAATCCCATGGAA